GTCAACCTTTAACCCATGTCACCACCACTGTCAACTTTTAACCCCTGTCACCACCACTGTCAACCTTTAACCCATGTCACCATCACTGTCAAAATTTAACCCTGTCACCACCACTGTCAACCTTTAACCCCTTGTCACCACCACTGTCAACCTTTAATCCCTGTCACCACCACTGTCAACCTTTAACCCCTTGTCACCACCACTGTCAATCTTTAACCCCTGTCACCACCACTGTCAACCTTTAACCCATGTCACCATCACTGTCAACCTTTAACCCATGTCACCACCACTGTCAACCTTTAACCCATGTCACCATCACTGTCAACATTTAACCCTGTCACCACCACTGTCAATCTATAACCTCTGTCACCACCACTGACTTAGAAAATCTTACAGCAACTGAGATATAACACTGATATTCCATGGTTATTCATAATTTAATATATCTTTTTCCAGACAAGCCAAGATAGAAGTTTTGCCATATTTGCTCTTTTTAACATTGTCTGGGCAACATTGTATCTGGAGACATGGAAACGTAAGAGTGCAGAACTTGCGTATCAATGGGGGACGCTGGACACAAAAGATGAACTGATTGACGAACCTAGGCCATTATTTCAGGTATTTATTTATAATCGCTACTAAGCCAAGTCATGTAATTAAAGCAATTTACAGTAATTCATTAAGTGTCATTCCCACACCAATTGTTTTATTGATATAAGTATTATTTCAATCCGGTCTCAGTCTTCTTACCATTCCAGATCTTGATGGTTATGAGGATTCCTGAACTAGATGCTCATGTTTCTTGATTATAATAGTAATAATTTTGTATACTATGAGGTTGAAATCAATAGGCAATTTTACTGTTATATGTAAAATATAATTTGTAATATTGATTTAATATAGGTGACAATGTAACAAAGCAAAGTGTGTTTAGTGATTGTAACAGCAGAATCACTGTTGAGCATCAGTTTTTAATTTTGTAACTTTTGTTTATTGTACAGGGAGAACTACGTCAAAGTGAAATAACTGGTCGTCTGGAGCCACATTTCTCTCCATTAAAGCGTAATCTATATCGTTACTGCATAACAGTACCAGTTATATGTCTGTGTATTTTGGTGATATTTGCCAGCATGCTGTTTTGTTTTGAGCTACAAGAATACATCAATAAAGCAATAGAAAATGATGATCTCCCAGGGTAAGTATGTTAGTGGTGGAATTATTGCTTGATAACACTTTGTAATCATGCTTTGAGAAACCACAACATATCACATCATTTTTTATGCCAAAATATAGGTGCAGGATTTTATACATTTTAATAGATTTTTCTACAAATTGTAAATTTTTGACCAAATAAACATAGTTTCATGGAAACATGAAAACACTTATGCAGGTTTATTTTGTGAAAGGTGACAGAAATTGAAATTTACATTCAAAGGTTAAAAGCTTTTGATGCTGATCCAGGGTTGTGCTGATCCAGGGTTGTGCTGATCCAGGGTTGTACTGATCCAGGGTTGTACTGATCCAGGGCTGTACTGATCCAGGGTTGTGCTGATCCAGGGTTGTACTCATCCAGGGTTGTACTGATCCAGGGTTGTACTCATCCAGGGTTGTACTCATCCAGGGTTGTACTCATCCAGGGTTGTACTCATCCAGGGTTGTACTCATCCAGGGTTGTACTCATCCAGGGTTGTGCTCATCCAGGGTTGTCTTAATCCAGGGTTGTCTTGATCCAGGGTTGTACTGATCCACAGTTGTGCTGATCCACGGTTGTGCTGATCCAGGGTTGTGTGTGAGAACTCTAACATTTTTAGTCCCCGTTCGGACGCAGTCCGAAAACGGGGACTTATGTTTTGCCCTGTGTGCGTCCGTCCGTCCGTGCGTCCGTGCGTCCGTGATCACCTGTATCTCGAACATGCATGGACCGATTAAGTTCAAACTTCACTCATACATCACACATTATATGGGACACATGCACATGCATTTTTTTCATGATCTGATTAACGATAGCCGAATAGCGGCCATTTTAAGGTCGAAAATGCATCAAAATCGCACATTTTCACCATTCCGGACCCGGATC